CCTGGATGAGAACAACTATTGGGAAAGCAAGGCTATGTGAAATTAAATGGAAACGTCAGCTCAACTCATATCATTTTGGGAAAATTCTACTACCAGTCTTTCATCACCTTAGACGAAATAGAGTGAATACATCTCATATTACTGATTTACTGGTAGTCTCGCAACTCTACTCTAATATGAAAATATTTATCTTATGTTGAATAATCTTAAAAATGAGATGCATAATAAGAATTAACATTCCCCAAAGGCTTCACACATATAGTTTCTCCGAAAGACTCTTGTATAAATATATTCGTAATTATATTTTTGACATAATTTTTTGGCACCTGGCGACTTAATTTCGCAAGTTTACTTGTCGTCAGGTTAGGAGCCTACGTAAGATAAGTAGATTAGACAAATATAATATAAAAATTAAGAAACGAAACATTAAACTTTTGAAAAATTTAGTACTATATTGAAGTTGACGCCTTTTCAATCCTGAACATTGAAGCTTACTTGGAAAAAGTCGCATTTTTACGATGGCATCCTCTTCCCTCATTTTAAGTTCACTGAAAGAGGTCTTAAAATATCGGCATTGTGGAGTTGGAAACAAGTAAGCAAGATATATTTCGTCCTGTTCTTTGATTATCTGAAAGAATGAATAAAGTGTAGATTAGCCTTTAATCAGGATGGCACCATCATAAGCCCTCAATATTGAGAAAACAAATAAGATACTCTTTGGTGCTTCCTATACAAGCATAGTTTACTATTTTCATGGTGGTTAAGGAACTTCTATCTAAGGCTACATGAGAAATATTGACCCGAGGGCTTTTTTCAGACCTGAATAAATGACTTGATGGTTCTATATCAACTGCGTAAACCTGTCTACTTTAGAAGTATCGATTCTCTCCAAATCCAGCTTTCATCGTTTTTTAATGAAAATGATTGTATTGCACATTAAATATCATTCTTGCCTCTTAAAAGGCGGCATTCAATTAAGGGTTATATTAGAGATATCATGAGAGAAAATAGGATCGTGATTGCAGTTTATATTGAGAGAAAAATACTGTTTGATGCAATTTTGCTGAAAAAAATTAGGCTTTCCATTGGAATATCGGTAGGCAGATCATAGTTTGCTTAATAAATCACGACTACCTTATAATATAATTATATATATATGTATATAAATTGATTTATTGAGAAAAAAGAGAAAGCGGAAGAGCAAAATAGTTATATTACTTTTAAACATCCTTGATAGTATGATGGAATCTAGTTTAGAAAATTTAAATAAAATGTTGATAAAATATGGTAAGAATATTCTGATTTCATTTTGTATACCAGCCTTGAAGACCAAGACGGTATGGCCTTTTATTTGGTCGAAGTCTCCTTTAGCTTTAGACTGTTGATTCGACCTCGCTGTTGCAAGCTGGTCGACTGCGTCAGGCATACGTTGTGTAAATTACCCAGTCCTTCGTATTCATGATTTCCAGCATCGGACCATTGACTTAGTGTATTTTCAAAACGTTTGGCCGGTATTGTAACCAGTACCATCAGTGAGAGGTGCCATTGTCAGCACAGATTTACAATTTATCAAAGTGACAAGTGAAGGCAATCCCCTCAACTGTTGTGGCATCAATCTTCACCCCTATTTTCTGTTCTAACTTGTATTGCTGCATCTCTTTCTCTCAACTCAACTTCATATCGCCCATCCGCCTCTTTACACAATTCTTTGCTCTCGTTTCCAACAATGTCGCCTAGGAATGTGTTGCTACAAGTGGGGTTAGTCAAGTGTAATAATATCCACTACCTGTTCCAGGTACCATTTGCAGGGCTACAGAACTTCTTCTAACCTCACCTTCTTCTATGCTGTCTGTTAGTTGGTCGGTGGTAAATATAAAAATCATTGTATGATTGTCTGCAATCTGGCCGTCTAAGAACCTTCCATTTACGTCCCCGATTATGACATATTCGTGGATTAAGAGCAGATGGTGTCCATGCGCATGCCCATGCCAGTGCCTGGGAATCTTCCTCTCCCTAGGCTTCGAGCCCATGACTCGGTTATCCTCTTTCTCACCCTCACCTCCGTTGTATCCCACTTTTTGAGGCCCTGTGCCCAGCTTCATTCATAACCACTGGTGTAAAATGCATCGCTTCCCTCTTCCCCCTACTGAATCGCGAAAAGTACACTCCTCTCGTCTTTCAATTTGACATTTTCACTCAATCCTAAAGTACTAGAATGTTCGTGCGTGTGTTGGTTATCATCTCTCGTGGTTAAGCATAGCACCACTCACCTGTCATTAATGCACACATTGGTGACCTATACTTTTAGCCTTTAATTTCCTACCCCAAATCCCACAGGTGGACCCCGTCTGGATAAACCTTTTTGGCCGATTCCATATTTTACTTCGTCTATTATCATCGCCTTTTCCTGTCTGCCCTTTGTCCCTCATGAGCCGCTCCTTGGTGATGTCTCTTCCTGTTGTTGAACAGCTGTCCTGGATTCAAGAGTCTTCTTCTTGATGTCTTCGTAGAATTTCCGAATCTGCACAGCCAGTTGCGAAAGTATCTTCTCTCTTCCAATCTCCTGTTCGCCAGGCTTCTTTGAAAGAGGATGTCCACAGCATTCCTTATATTCCGTTTTTTGGTGTTCTCCTCATATGGGCCAGCTTTCGCTTTGCACTCCGGTCAAGTGTGTGACCTGTAAAGGCGATGCGTTCAGCTATCTTCAATCTTTCCGTATCCACTTTTCTGCATATTCGCTGGTGTTCTTTGATCCTTCTCTCCAACCTATTCTTGTTTACATTCCTTGCAGTTTACGCTGTAAACTTCCGATCACTTCATTTTGTTGACTTCTTCATGTTATGTGGTAAAATTAATGAAAAGGGTTGTTCTTTTCTTAAGGATTGTACGAATCTTGCATTTCCACAATATCGGCCACAGCTTCCTAGCCAATTCACAGCAGGGTAGACATATTCCTCGCTAGTCCTCTTTTTACCCTGCTTATCTTTCATAATGTTTGTTCTGCTAAATGTTAATAATCATACATGGGTCGCATTCTATTGCTTTTTCTAGAAATCCATTTCCAAGAAATTCTAAGTTAGTCTAAGTTAGTCTAAGTTAGTTCCTTTAAGAACTCAAATCACCAAATCGTAAGCTTCTTATGATCGTACACCGGAGTAGACGTGGTCAGACTGAAAGTTAAGAATTATTCCAGCATGTGATTTTTTTCGGAATAGCCGTTTGTTGAGAGCCTTCTCGGAGCGGATGACCTCTTCCATATCCATGGTAAGTTTAACTTTTCATCCATCTCATTTATTTTCCATTCGACCAGATTGCAAATAGTTATTCAAATACAACATTATTACTGTTGGCTGCTGAGGTGACGTTTTGAAATTCTCTTCCAATTTGTTCATTTAACATTAGCCAACAGACGTGAGAGTGGTGAGCCCATAGAGAGATCAAATATTTGCTCATAGATGCGGCCGATGAACTTGAAATATGTCGTTCATATTTTTAGGGTGATTAATCGGATTAGAGACTCTATACACCTTCGCTCTGTCTCCAGGACGACATTTTCTTTTTCCAAGATCTCTACTAGTGCCGCGAGTGCATTTTCTTCTAAGATGTTAGTGTACATTGACTACACATCAAAGTTGACTAAATGTTCGTTTCTTTCCAAACTAGTACCTTTGATTCGTTGGCAAAATTGATACGAATTCTTCACTGTTCTCGATAATCTATTATTCGCTTACTTTAATTTGAGGCAGATAAATTCCACCAATTTATGTGTTGTTCAGTGTTTGTTGTTACCTATAGGCCTCAATGGTTCTCTTTCTTTGCGTACTTCCGGCAAGTTGTATGCTACTTGAGTTCTTGAATCCTTTCGTAGGAGTAAATTCATTGTCCGTTTGTCAATTTTCCCGTTTGTATTCATTTTCTTAAGCATTTCTTGCAGTTCTCTTTTGATTATATTTGTTGGGTCTTTTGCTAGCAGTCAAAAAGTTGTAGTGTTCTCGATAATATTTTTAATTTTCACTATATATTCCGTCCTGTCCATCATCACTTTGGCATCTCCCTTGTCAGTTTGCAGGACTATTTGATCATTCCTTCTTAATTATCTATATATCTTGGTAATATTCTTCTTACCTGTGGCTCCTTGCTACGCATTTTTAATGCTTTTTTTGTTTCTTAAGATAGCTTCTCAGAAATATCACCTCTACTAAATGTCATAGATTTTCTTCCTTTTATTCTAAGTGTAAGATTTACTCCCTTCTTGAGGATCTCTGTAGTTTCTAGGTCAAGAGGGACGGAAGATATATTCACAAATCTATCTCAAATACTTGTATGGACAATGAGATTGATCATTCTAGAGTAATATCGTTTTTGTGGTTGGATTCATATTTATTTAAAGATATGAAGACCAAGATGTTGTGGCTTCTGGTACGGCCGATCGAAAGAGAGAGGGTCGGGGTGAATAGCAAGTGTGATGAGGCTACACAAAAGGGCACACCTTTTGACGAGTTGAATGTAAACAAGTGAGAAGTTGTGATAGGGCGGCAGTGGGATAAGAGGGTAAGGAGTAGATAAATAGGCCAGGACAGAAAGAGGAGTGATAGTGCAACAGTTTTCGGCAGAACGTTTGTCGAGGGATTGACTT